AGGCCTGCTGGCCCCTGGGCGGGAGGACGTTGCTGCTGTGAATGCAGTGTGTGTGTGCGTGCGTGCGTGCATGTGGTAGGGGCAGTGGGGTGGGGGTGAACAATATAAAGAATGCAGAAGTCTTTGTGCCAGAGTGAGGTACCCAGCATAAGAAGATAGAGGGCTGCTGAGCCCCAAGAAAAGGATGTTTGCTTGGATAGAGGGGTGGCCTTGGACCAAGTGCGGGGGCTTGACCCGGGTTCAAATCTTCCCTGAAGTAGGAAGCTCACTGGTGGCTTGAACAAGTTTCCTTTTTCACGAACTGCCTCACCAGGCTGTTGTGAGGATAAGGCAGCAAGACCGCGTGCAGGGGCCCCTGAAGCCTTTGGCCTCAGCATGGGATGCAGGGACGGTGATGCCACAGAGCATCTCTTCCCTGCTCAGGCTGAAGCCTCGGCTCTGTTTTTGACCCCGACCCTGACCCTCACAGTGACCCCGACCCTTCCCCACCCCCTCCCTTGCCGAGCCCACCCCTCCAGAGCCACCCATTATCCCGGAACAGATGACAGCGGGGGCTCGGTCTGAGTGGGGGCACTTTTATTCAGCCTGCGGCTGGACATGCACGGGGGGCACATATTTACAAAGGCCTGGTCTGGCAACACAAGAGACAAATCCGGGGCAGGCGGAGGGGCCACAAGGCTGAGCTAGAGTCTTCTTCACTTTTTACCCGAGCTTTTCTGCACGGTCCTCTGGCTGATCTTTTCCTCGAAGCCTTCATGAACAGCCATACAGGTGAACTCATTGCCAGCTTCCCAGGCTGCTTGATCGATTTGCAGTCCGCTGAACATAATATATGCACCATCTTGGTTGCCCTTCATGGCAGGACTGTTAACATAGTGATCTTCAGGCACGGCATTGTCATTCATCAGCCACTGGACAGAAATGTCCCTCGGGATGAAATTGACAATCAGGCAGGTGAGATGCACTGTTGCTTCGCCAGCAGATTGCTTTTGAGGAGCTGTGAGTTCTTCATGGTGAGGGGGGAAGAGGTAGATCTTGGGAGCCCTGCTTGGTTCTTTTGGAGGGTAGAAGAGAACGATAAGAGAGGAAGGAGGAAGACAGCGGTTAGTCAGTCAGGCCAAGTCAGTGGAAGCAACTTGGGGCTTGGGGGCCTGGAGGGGAAGGAATGGGGGGCCTCCGAAAGGTCCTATGGCCGTGCTCTCACAAACAGTGGAGCTCCTGGATGAGTTTTCGGGATGGACTGTGGAGCTGCAGGGTGCAACTGTGGTGGCTTTTCTCTCATCTCCTCTCTTGGCAGGTCACAGGAACAGGGCTGACCTGCGCATTTCCCAGAGTCCTCCTGCATCCTCCCTCCTGGGCAGGAACCCGTGTAGCTCTGTTGTGGGGACTGGCACCCCAGGGAGCAGCCGGTCAGTCCCTGCCCTGCATCATTCTCCTGATAAGCAGTGGGACAACCGCTATTTTGAAAAAGGGGCACCTTATCTGTCTCCCGGCTCACTTTCACTCTGCTCCCTGGGCATATCCGGGCTGCAGCGACATGGCTATGGAGCCGCCAGGCCAGCTGGATCGCTGCTCCCCAGATAAGCCTGGGGCCTCGAGTGAGGGTTGGGCCTGCACATCCTGTGTTGGAAGACTGTGCTCCCACTTTACGCACCACCAATCGCCCTGCGCAGTAAATGAATGGGGCTATAGACCCAAAGGCCACCACCCGCAGCCTGGAAGGGTCACGATCTGCCCAGCAAACAGGGTGAAAAGCCAGTGGGCATCAGCCTGAGTAGCACCAGGTTGGAGGTGTCTGATGTCTCCAGCCCTCGATCCTCAACAGTGACTCCTGGGTGCTCCCAGATATACCACGTTTTAGTACTCTCCTCCCTGCCCTGGAGGCTGCTGGAGAATGAGGCCACCAGCCCAGATGGAGAGCAGTCCTCTCTCCCTCTCACCTGTCCTCTTGGAAGTCGTCATGGTGATTGGAGCGGAGAAGGAGGTGTGCTGCATGGTGCAGGTGAATCTCTCCCCAAGGGACCATTCCTCAACAGTGACAGGCAATGTGCTAATGGCAGTATAGGTGCCGTTCAGTTCCTCCTCTACATCCAGTGGTTGAGGGTTGAGGGGTCCCTGCTTTTCTCGTGACCACGTGATGCTGAGCCCCTCTTCTGACACCAGATTGATCATCACACACAGGATCTTGGGGGTACGGTTCACATACAGGTCTTTTGGGGTTGGCTGTCTGATGTATGTGCTAATGCCAGAGGACTGGCAGCCACTGGTAGCTGGGGACACAAAGCTGAGGTTAAGCATAATGGCGCCCTTTGCACTTCTTGCCTCCTTTTAAGGGCACGTGACCCAATTCCTGCTCTTTTTTTCATAGAAGAGGCCTAGAAGGCAGCTCATTCAAGCTCACCAATCCAGCCTCCCTATCCTCTCCCTCTCTCCTTCCCTCCCTCCTTTCTTTATTAGGATCACAACAATCCATAAAACTACCCGTGTACCGGAACTGTCATAACACTTCTCTGCTATATTTGAAAAGATATTCTGCATTTCTGCTCTATCTACACTGAGATAGGAGTAGCAGCTGAAATGACCCCGAGCCCCCTGGATGGAGCCCGCCCCACCACCGCGTTCATTTCCAATCCAGACCCACACATCAAAATACAACCAAGTCCAACTTGAATCCCCAGTTTTACCTTCACATCTTTTGGCTGTGCTTTTCAATGTAGTTTGCGTTGCTGGATGGGTCACCTGGCAGTGGTAGGTATTCCCTTCCAGCCAATCAGCCTGGCTTACGTTGGCCCTGCTGGTGGTGCTGAACGTGTATCCGGTATCGTCCCTCCTGGGAGTGTCTGTCCGGGAAGCCAAGAGACCAGACTTCCCGCCCACCAACCATTCCACCTCCAGATCCTCGGGGTAGAAGCCCTGGATGAGACACACCAGCTCAATGTCGGCATCCCCAGATCTGGAGTCACAGGAGGAATGGAGCAGCTGGACCTCTGGGGGCACTGGTTCTTTTGCTGGGCCGCCTGCAGGGAAAGCAATTATATGGGGCATGAATTCCATTTTAAGGGATCCAGGTGGAGCATGATGTTACCTTTTATAGGCAGACAAATAGGGTGGGAAAGAAGAGGAAGGGCAGCTCTGAGGCAGAGATGAAGAAATCTCTGGATTTGGGAGACTGGAAGGTGCCTGTCCATGTTTCTCTGTTATTCCCATTCCTCCTGCCCGTTTTCCACGTGGCTTCCAAGGGTTTCGGCAGGCTGACCTTCCCATCAAGGTCATTCCTTCTCCTTCCTGGAATTTGTCCTCAAACTTCCCTTCACTCCCTACAACTTTGGGGATCTCCCTCGCCCACTTCTGTACAATGGAGTGTGGGATCATTGCTCACTGCCTTTCCTTTCAACATTGCAGAAGCCACAGGAATCTCGGATTGTTGATTACTTTACTCTTTTTGCATTTTGGGAACTGATGGAACTGCTTCAAGGGGCTCACGGGTGCCCAAAGTGCCCAAAGTGGGTGTATGCACTACACTGACAACAATGTTACAAGAATAATGTGGCAATTAGTCACATTAAAAATCCAGAGCACATTAGCTCTTTCTATTATGTAACATGCTTTAGAAACCAATTTGACCTGGCAAGTATTTGAAAAGTTGTGTTTGGATGTTGCTCCAACTTGACCCTTTGCCACTGAAATCTTGCTTCTGAGCCCCCCCCCCCCCGCAACATTTCTTTTAACAGCTTGGACCGTGTCACCCCACCCCCCACCTGTATACGCCCCTCATGCAGAGCATCAGTTTCATGGGGCAAGGGCCATTTCTTACCTATAAGTTAAAACTTTTGCTTGTGTTAAAAAGTCATGCTTGGGTTA